GCATCTATGATGGAGTTCTTCCCACTTGTCTGGGAAGAACTCCATCATAGATGCATGGCAATGTTAGAAATGCAGGTCCCTTTAGGTTAAGGCAAAATAATTCTGGAGCTGACTAACAGCAGGTGATGCTCAGTGGATTTTGCATTTTCAAAGCCAGGTTCTATGCCAATTTGTCGGTGGAGGGGGGAGTTGAAACCTAAAGTTCATGCTAACTATACATTTAAAATCCAACCCTTTTAAATCTCAAAGTTTTTTTTGCCTAATATAACAGATGGGTTTAGTGGACTGTTAAATAGTCATTGCTTGGCACTTTTATGGAGCATTAATGTTACTTGGCACTTGTCAGCCCAAGCGGACTTCATCTGGACACAGAGATAGTAGGAACTGCAGATGCTGGAGAATCCGAGACAACAAGGTGCAGGGCTGGATGAACACAGCAGGCCAAGCAGCATCATAGGAGCAGAGAGGCTGACGTTTCGGGCCTAGACCCTTCATCAGAAAAGGGGGAGGGGAAGGGGGTTCTGAAATAAATAGGGAGAGAGTGGGAGGCGGATAGAAGAGGGATAGAGGACAGGATAGGTGGAGAGGAAACAAACAGGTCGAAGAGGCGGGGATGGAGCCAGTAAAGGTGAGTGTAGGTAGGGAGTCAGGAAGGGGATAGGTCAGTCCAGGGAGGACGGACAGGTCAAGGGGGCGGGATGAGGTTGGTCGGTAGGAGATGGAAGTGCGGCTTGAGGTGGGAGGAGGGGATAGGTGGGAGGAAGAACAGGTTAGGGAGGCAGGGACGAGCTGGACTGGTTTTGGGATGCGCTAGGGGGAGGGGAGATTTTGAAACTTGTGAAATCCACATTGATTCCATTGGGCTGCAGGGTTCCCAAGCGGAATATGAGTTGCTGTTCCTGCAACCTTCGGGTGGCATCGTTGTGGCACTGCAGGAGGCCCAGGATGGACATGTCGTCTGAGGAATAGGAGGGGGAGTTGAAATGGTTCGCGACTGGGAGGTGCAGTTGTTTATTGCGAACCGAGCGTAGGTGTTCTGCAAAGTGGTCCCCGAGCCTCTGCTTGGTTTCCCCGATGTAGAGGAAGCCACACCGGGTACAGCGGATGCAGTATACCACATTGGCAGATGTGCAGGTGAACATCTGCTTGATGTGGAAAGTCTTCTTGGGGCCTGGGATGGGGGTGAGGGAGGAGGTATGGGGGCAGGTGTAGCACTTCCTGCGGTTGCAGGGAAAAGTGCCGGGTGTGGTGGAGCTGAAGGGGAGTGTGGCGCGGACAAGGGAGTCACGGAGAGAGTTGTCCCTCCGGAAAGCAGATAAGGGTGGGGAGGGAAAGATGTCTTTGGTGGTGGGGTCGGATTGCAGATGACGGAAGTGTCGGAGGATGATGCGTTGGATCCGGAGGTTGGTGGGGTGGTACGTGAGGACGAGGGGGATTCTTTTTTGGTTCTTATTGCGTGGACGGGGTGTGAGGGATGAGTTGCGGGAAATGTGGGAGACATGGTTGAGGGCGTTCTCGACCACCGAGGCGGGGAAGTTACGGTCCTTGAAAAACGAGGACAACTGAGATGTACGGGAGTGGAATGCCTCATCCTGGGAGCAGATGCGGCGGAGGCGAAGGAATTGGGAATAGGGGATAGCATTTTTGCAGGAAGGAGGAGGAGTATTCTAGGTAGCTGTGGGAGTCGGTGGGCTTGAAATGAATATCGGTTTCTAGGTGGTTGCCCGATATGGAGACAGAGAGGTCCAGGAAGGGGAGAGAGGTGTTAGAGATGGTCCAGGTAAACTTAAGGTTGGGGTGGAAGGTGTTAGTGAAGTGGATGAACTGTTCGAGCTCCTCGTGGGAGCACGAGGCGGCGCTGATACAGTCATCAATGTAACGGAGGAAGAGGTGGGGTTTAGGGCCGGTGTAGGTATGGAAGAGGGATTGTTCCACGTAACCTACAAAGAGGCAGGCGTAGCTTGGGCCCCCTCCCCCTACCGCATCCCAAAACCAGTCCAGCTCGTCCCTGCCTCCCTAACCTGTTCTTCCTCCCACCTATCCCCTCCTCCCACCTCAAGCCGCACCTCCATCTCCTACCGACCAACCTCATCCCGCCCCCTTGACCTGTCCGTCCTCCCTGGACTGACCTATCCCTTCCTAACTCCCTACCTACACTCACCTTTACTGGCTCCATCCCCGCCTCTTCGACCTGTTTGTTTCCTCTCCACCTATCCTCTCCTCTATCCGCCTCCCACTCTCGCCCTATTTATTTCAGAACCCCCTTCCCCTCCCCCTTTTTTTCATCTAGACACAGACTGCTTCAGTATGAGGAGTCATAAATGGTGCTGTATATTGTGAAATCATCAAACATTCCCACTTCTCAGGATCAAGATAAGCAGTTGAAGATTGTTGGGCCTAGGACACTACCCTGAGGAACCTCTGCAGCCACT